TGTGGGTGATCATGGGGCAAGGGCAAGATCCTAGTAGGTTCCTATGCAGAGAATCTCTTAGCGGGGTTTAAAGCAAGCAGGCACCTGTTCCAGGGGGTCACGCTGACAAGGTAGCCACCTGACATTCGCAGGCAAGTGGTCACCTTGGAGGGAAGCTTCCTGAGAGCTCTCATCTCTAGCCACCAAGGCAGCATTCAGGTGGGACAGCGCTGGAAGCCATGAAGGGAGGCTGGCCTGCAGTGGCAGGAGAAAGCCACACTCACACTTTTAAGTGGAAGCAGAAGGGACATTGAGCTCCTCTTGCTGTCCCTGAACAGTGTCAGCACTGTATGTTTTTTTCCATCTCTACTGTTTTTTTGTACCAGGGATTGAATTCAAGGGTTCATAACCACTGAGTCAAATCCAAGCCCTTTTTAGTTTTCATTTAGAGTCAGGGTCTCAGTAAGTTACTCAAGGCCTTGCTAAAGTTGCAGAGGCTGGCTTTAAACGTGCAATCCTCCCGCCTCAACCTCCCAGGCCACTGGGACCACAGGTGTGCACCACCATGCTCAGCTTCATCTCGTACAAGGAGAAGAGTCCTGTCCCTGCTTACAATAAATTCTATTACTATGACAACTCCCACCACTGAGGACTCATGACAGTGACAACTCCAGCCACAGGTGTGAATTTTAAAATGACAAATGGGGTAAAGGACACCATATTCTAATTATGTTTTCTAAGTAACCAATGGGGAGAAGGAAATTAGAAAATATTCTAATCCTGTATCGTAAGGTAACCAATGGGAGTAAATGGGGTAAGGTCATCAGTCAGGTCCATGTAGGGAAGAGAATGCTCCACAGCTCAGGACATAAGACCCCTAACTTCCAGATGCTGAGGCCTTGAGAGCGCCCCTGCCTCACCCTCTTGTTTGGCCCACTCTGCTCTAACAGGGTGCTATTTTCACCTTTAAGAACTTTGTACTTTGCTACCTCTGTGTCTTGCTCAATTCTTTGTTCAGGACTTGAAGGACCTGGACCCCAAATGGCACCCTGATGATAACGTACATGCATATATGCTGGATGGGAATTCTCAATTGGTTCTCTCTCTCTCTCCCTTATAACAAGTTTTGGGGTGGTTTTAAAGCACAACAGATAAACAGAACAGAATCTGGTAGTCAGAAATGGGGTGCTACAGTAATAAAAAGCCATGACACATGGCACTTGCTATAAGACCAAACAGATGCTACCAAAAGATGAAGCCATCTTCTTCTGGGATGGCACACACCTGCTGTTCCAGACTTGGGCAGGAGGGTCACAAGTTCAAACGCAGCCTTTGCAACTTAGCATGACCCTGTCTCAAATTCAAAAATAAAACGAACTGGGGAGGTGGCTCAGTGGTTAAGCACCTGATATCAATCCCCAAGACCAAAAAAAAAAAAAAAAAAAGAGGGGGGGTGGGTATCTAAACAAATAGGATCTAGAAAAACAAACAAAAAGATGAAAAATGAACTAATAAGCAAGGATGTTTAATTTCCACACAGAATCTGGAAGAAATATGGAGGATCCAACATTCTCCAGGTTTGAAATAAAACTATTTCTATCCCTGGTTTTTCTTACTCCTTAGAAGTCAGAAACGGCTTTGTGGCCCAGATCAGAGACCAAAAATATTTTCAGCATTCTAAAATCTTGGGGCGAGACACAGAGTGGGCTGGTAAAAAGTGGGCCTTCCAAGGCTGTCCCCCAGTGCCCAGGACAGAAGCGGCTGCCAGAGAACAAAAAGCCTGTCCCCGAGAGTACGAGGGTGGCTCAGGACTAATACATGCCAGTACAGCTGGAGCTCACTTCACTTAAAGAAAGTATTTCTTATAATTCATGTCTGGAGTCAGAAAAAAACTGAAAAGGAGGCTGCTGGATCCCCCACTTATAACCAAAAACAGTGACAAAAGATGTTCCACCAAGAACCCAGATGTTTAAGAAGAACACTGATAGAGAATGGCAAAGCCAGGGGAGTAAGGAGGCACAAAGCACCTTTCTCAGGGAGGAGGACTGGACTTTAAGCTAAAAATCAGTGCAGGTGGCCACTAGGAGCAGTTTTTCTGACCACTGCTGCAGGGAGTGTCCACCAGAGTCACTCCTATCTCCTCAATATGGAGGGGGTGTGTGGGAAGTACAGATGGCTGGTCACCAAGACTTAGCTGAGCCTTCTACCAACACCATGATACAAAAAGGTTTCTCTAAAACCTTTTTCTCCAGACGCAATGGCGCACTCCTCTAGTCCAGTGACTTGCGAGGCTGAGGCAGGAGGAAACCAAGTTCAAGCCTCAGCAACTCGGTGAGGTCCTAAGTAACTTTTGAGACCCTGTCTCAAAATAAAAAACAAAAAGAGCTGGGGATGTATCTCAGTGGTTGAGCACCCCTAGGTTCAATCCCTGATACCAATAAAGGGGCTTTGAGGCTCTGGAGACCGACAAAACATGCTTCACATGGGAGAGAAAGGGAGGGAACAGCACACTAACAACTGGTGTGTCTCGCTACTCTCTCTGAAAGGCAGAGTCTAAAGGCCTCTCCTTAAGCAAAAGTGGTCCTAGGGACGTGCCTGACCAGGCTTGTGTCGGGAAGGCCATCTGAGACTTCTGAGGGAAGACCACAGAAGGCTCGCAGCTTCCACCTGGGTCTCCAGAGAAGCCAGGCACATCTGACTTCCCGAGACTGCCAGAGCCAGAGAGGCTGGTGGCCCCAGGTCCTCGGCCACCAGGGTTCTTCCAGCTAAGATGACTGGCATCATGAAGCAGCCCACCAACACTGCCCAGTCCCGTTGCCTGACCCACAGAACCATGACGCATAATAAGCCTGTAGGTTCTGTAGTTCCATGTTACTCAGCTGATAACTAGAAGACCAAAAATTCTTTAGAGACCTTAGGTGGTACCCTCATTTGAACAGAGAGGATACAGTTAGACTTGGATATTAAGTTCAAGGTAAATTAACAAAGTAGGTTCCATGTTAGATATGAAGCTATAATTATGAATTTTAAATGTTCAGTTAAGTGGATTTAAAACTTTCTTCCTTAAGCAACTATTAACAAGTATATTCCATAAACAGTTACAACTGTTTCACATTCATTTTTCACATTTTAAGTGGTTATCAGAAATAAAAAAGAGCTTACAAACATGCCAGTTATTCTGAATTACAAAATAAAACTATGTATTGATAAAAACTATAGATCAAATCGCTGACATAAACTTCCATAAGCAAAGATACACATTATAAAATCTTTATCTTGTTTTTATTCTTTGCATTGTCTATCAACTCTATTAACTGACCCTTGTTCAAAACTGCCCCATTAACCTCTGAATGCTAAGGAGTCACTCTGTGTAGGGAAATAACCCACAGGGACAGACCTAATCACCCAGGAGCACAGCCTCCACATTCTTCCAAGAATGGCACTTCCAATGCAATGAACAGTTACTGTGCTTGTGAGCACCGACTGCTCCTCTTCCCCAGGGGCATTACTGAAGGCACAGAACAAAAGGGAAAAAATCAACAAAAGCAGCTAGACTTGACACCAGGTGAGATGAGGTCTGAGTCCAAAGAACCCACCTTTATGGTCTGTATAGTAGCTGGAGAGGGGCGAACACATTTGAAGACCAAAAGGATGTGGTTTTCATCTGCACTTTGGACAGCTGCCAACATGAGAGCTGAATGTGTGGTCTACAGGCTAAGGAAGAGGTCAGGCTGGTTTCTTCAAGAAACCCAGAGGCCTGGGAGGCTGAGGCAGGAGGATCACAGGTTCAAAGCCAACCTGAGCAAGTCTCTAAGCAATTCAGCAAAACCCTGTCTCTAAAGAAAAAAAAAAAAAAAAAAAGGGGGGGGGGGGGATGTGGCTCAGTAGATAGGTTCAATCCCCAGTATCACCAAAAAAAAAAGAGAGATTGGGACAAAGGGGAAACAGATAAGCTATCTGAATGAGCTACATCAAGAAGGTAAGTGGTACATATACACATGGAGTATTACTCAGCCATAAAGAAGAATAAAATTATGGCATTTGCCAATAAATGGATGGAACTGGAGGCTATCATGCCAAGTAAAATAAGCCAATCACAAAGGCCTAATATTCTCTCTGATATGTGGATGCTGACACACAATGGGGGCATGCAGTGGACGTTCAAGGGACTGAATAGGACAAAACTTTTCTATGTTCGTGTATGAATACAAGACCAGTGTAACGCCACATAATTTACAACCACAAGACTGAGAAGTTATACCCAATGTATGTATGACATCTCAAAATACATTCCATCATACATAACTTTAAAAAAAAAACTTCAAAAAAATGAATGGAAACTAAAGAGTTCCAAGAGAAAATTGAGAACACTAGTTTCAAACTCAACAGACTCAAGTCAAGACCTGAGAACAGTCACTAGATTTCACTGTGTGGGTTCCTGGTGAGTTTTCTGAGGAACTGAGACCACAGTCAGTGGGTTAATGTGCAGATGAGCTGTGTCTGCGCAACAGAAAAGCATTCCATTAGTTGCCGCACCATCACACACAGGAACATAAACACAGCCTTCCATGAGCGCCACTGCATGAACAGGTGCGCTGAAGGCCCTGGGGTCAACTCAGCCCCACTGACATCTAAGACAGACTTCCAAAGCTGTGTGGGCCACGCTCTCTGAAGAACTCCAGGAGAACCTCATTAAGGAAGCTGTAAAGCAGTGAAGAGTCCACAACAGGAAAACAGTGTTTCATGAAAGCTGAGCAGGCTCTTTCCTCAGGTTCCCTCCAATCCTGTGAGAAATGTGTCTGCCTTTCCAGCACAACATCAGAAAGGCCAGGTACCCACTGCTCCTCCAAGGAGAGGACCCTGAAGTCAAAACCTGCACCTAACTGTGTGCCAACTTTATTTATGAACATTAACTTCAGACTCAGTTTTACTTATTTCTACTTTTCTGTTTTAAGTCATGGACCCACAAACCCCATGCAGTATAATGTAAAGCAAGTGAGGAATGGATAAAAACAACTCACTGGAGTCTCACTCATTTTTTCAGTGCTCCTGGAAACACTGGAAACAGGCGGAAAAGGTGAATAAGGTGAAGTCATGAGGGAAATGGGCAGGGGGCGTGGTCCTAGATTCTCCTGCTCAGACCAACACACTGGCTGGAAAAGACCAAAAAGAAAGATTTTTAGCAAATGCCTGTTTTGACTTAACTATGGCAAAACTGATAAGGCCAGCTGAAGAGTGATTCAAGGCAAGTCACATTTCCACAAATTGAATTTTTAAAACCTTTAGCCAGGCACAGTGGCGCACACCTGCAATTCCAGCAGCTTGGGAGGCTGAGGCAGGAAGATTGCAAGTTCAAAGCCAGCCTCAGCAACTTAGCAAGGTGCTAAGTAACCCAGTGAGACCCTGTCTCTAAATAAAATACAAAATAGGGTGGGGATGTGGCTCAGTGGTGAGTGCCTCTGAGTTCAATCTCCAGTACAAAAAAATAAAAATAGGGGCTGGGGATGTGGCTCAAGCGGTAGCGCACTCGCCTGGCATGCGTGCGGCCCGGGTTCGATCCTCGGCACCACATACAAACAAAGATGGTGTGTCTGCTGAAAACTAAAAAATAAATATTAAATAATAATAAAATATTAAAATAAATAAATAAATAAAAATAAACAATAAAACTTTCATATTTGGTAGAGACTCCTTGGCAACCTTTCCTGAATTACCAGGAAGATCCATCAGGTCAGAGGGAAGATCAGCAGATTTCTAGATGCCAGATTTGGTGATAAACCAGGTCTGAGAGGTAAGACATTGGAAGCAATTTGGGAACAATGAAGAAATGGAATGTTCAAAGAGTACTGTGGGCAGACTGCCCAGGTATTACAGGTATTTCTCCACCCCAGACCACACCTTCAGGCCCCTCCAATAGATAACACTTCCAAGGCTCCGGCCTCCCCTTCTCAGTCTGACTGAACTCTTTACAGAAAACTGGTCCCAAACCTCCAGAACTGCCTACCTGGTGACAGCTTCTGGTGGAGCATTACTAGAGGAGCCTTGCTGCGCTCCTGCTGTCTGGGCCAGACAAAGCAAGTCCAGGGCTCCTGTCTCCCACTGACTGGGCCAGGCTTCGCAAAGCCAAGTCCAGAGCTACTGTCTCCTGCTGTCTGGGCCAGGCAGAGCAAGTCCAGGACTCCTGTCTCCCACTGTCTAGGCCAGGCAAAGCCAAGTCCAGGGCTCCTGTCTCCCACTGTCTGGGCCAAGCTTTGCAAAGCCCAGTCCAGGGCTCCTGTCTCCTGCTATCTGGGCCAGGCAAAGCGAGTCCAGGGCTCCTGTCTCCCCCTGTCTGGGCCAGGCAAAGCCCATCCAGGGCATCACTCTCTGGCCTCCTCTGAAAATGCGGCCGAGGCGAACTTTCTGGCGGCACTTTCCTTCAGACTCTGTAAGGCTTACTTTTACTTTGCCCCAAGATTAGGGGGCCATCATCACGCAGGACCCCCAACCCCGTTAGAACTTACTGTCCCTGGACACCAGTCTGGTATAGGACACTGTAAGCTCCAACTGCGGGCAGCTGTCCTTAAAGTGAAGGTGGAATCCCCCTCCCTGAAATCGGGGCTTCCCCCTGCAGAGAGGGCGAGCTGAGGGGGCACAGCGGCCCCGCCCGGACAGGTGCCCAGGGAAGGGACCGCAGGGGAGGAGAGGGACGCCGCCGCTAACTCGGGTCGACCGAGCCCGCAGCGCACAGGCCACCGGCTGTGGGAAGACAGAACCTGACACGTAGGTTTCTTCCATCTACCTTCAAGGCTGGCTTCCAATCCAGCCAAACCCCCGCCCACCTGGCTCGGAACGCTCCGGAGCAGCGAGTCCCAGCATCCAGGGCAGAGCCCTGCCGCCGCAGCCGGAGGGCCCCAGAAACCCCACTGGCTCCAGTGACACCACGGGCACACAGTGCGGCCGGCCGCAGGTGGCCTGCTTCTAGTGGGGCAGGGGGCTCGAGCTACTGAACAGCTCACCTCGGCAGGGACGACCCAACGGAACGGGGGCGTCAACCGGCGCCCCGGGCGGAGCGGGGCAGTCGCAGCGGGCGAGCGGCCTGGGGAGCTGCAGGGCCCCGGCGTGAGCTCAGGTGTCGACGCGCACCCACCCGCCGGGCCTCGCGGCGGCAGCCGTCCCCTCCCAGCTCCCGCTGGCGCCCGCGCGCCACTGCGCGGAGGCGCGGCCCAGCCCAGCAAGCACTCGGCACTCCAGCCCGACTGCCGCGGGGGCGGGAGCGTCCGCAGCAAGATGGCGGGGGGGGGGGGGGCGGCGCATGCGCAGAGGACTCCGGAAGCGCGCGGAGCGGAGCGGGCGACGGCGGCCGACCCTGCCTCCCCCAGGGCCCGGCGGTCCTGCCTAGGGGCGGGGCCGTCCGCTGCGGGGCGCGCTGCCGGAGGCCCGGGATTGGCCGCTCTGAGCGCGTGACCGCAGCCCCTCCCCGTTAGGGGGCGGTCGCGGGGTGTGGGGGCGGCGCTCGCAGCGCGGGCGGTTTAGCTAGGGATGCTGCAGGCGAGCGTGTTGGACCTTGGAAGGTCTGTCTGGGTTTTAATTCGTTAAGTGACAGGAAATCAATGTCTGTTTTCTTCTGAAGAATCAGGAAAAGCTTATCACCCGCTGAACTAACGGGGCGTCGCCAGTGGCGTTCGCTACTCCGTGGGAGATCCTCCCGTCACGAGTCAGGACGCCCGGGGCGGGCGTGGCCCGGGGCAGGGTCCGGGCGGGTGTTCAGGGTGTCTGGAGGGTGCTCACGGGGCTCCCGCGCTGCTGCGCCCGTGGGCCTGGCCAGATGGGAGCCAGTGCTCCTTTCAGGGCGCCTCGCCCGGCCTGCTCCGCCCGGCGCCCAAGCTAGACCCGCGGAGCTGGAGGGAGGCCCTCCCCTCCGAGGTCAAGTCCCCGAGGTAGCCGTCTACCGTACGGTGGTGGAGATGAAAAGGCCTGCAGGGTTAGCTGTCAAACAGCGACCTCTTACTGCTACCACTGTCCCTAAAAGAACAGAGAGCCCTCCGGAGCGTGCTGTGGCTGTGGTCAGCTGGGCCACTGGGTCAGGGCCTGACCTAACCCTCGCCAACCTTCCGGTTCCTGAACTAAATGCCATTGAGTGGATCACTGAGCAGTTGGTTGCCCTCTTGCCCAATGGTGAGGCGGGAGGTTACACACCCACCATGCCGAAGGCCGACCTTGTGTGACAGCTACAGATGACTGAGGGTGCCCGGGAGCCCAGCGCCCCGACCGCCCCGGGTAACCACTGTATAGCAGGTGGGCCCATCTCTTTCGAATTGGACACGAGAGCTACACTCTCAGTACTTGTCCAATTTTGGGGACCCACCTCTACCTCCACGATCTCCATTGTCAGGGTGTAAGGCAAACCATACCAACCATTAAAGACCCACTTCTCACATGCTCCATTCACGAGATCCTTTTGTCCCACTCTTTCCTCATCATCCCCCAATGCCCTACTCCCTTACTAAGTTGAGACCTTTTAAGTAAATTAGGTTCATCCATTTCCTTTAATCTTCCCCGGACTTGTCCCCACTTCCACTCCTCCTCCTCCTCCTATCACCTACAGCCACCTCCTCATCAACACCCTTGCCCCCATCCTTGGTCAATTCTCAGGTATGGGACGTACACAACCCCTCTGTAGCCACCTGCCAAGATCCCATCCACATCACACTAGGACCCACCCTCTTTCCATCCGAAGCCCAGTACCTAAACAGCCTCAAGAGATCTAAACCCATAGTTCCTGACCTTCTAGCCAAAGGCCTATTGTATTGTGCAGACTCCCTATAACACACCCATTTCCCCCCACCCCTGTCAAAAAACCCTCAGGTGCTTTCCATGTGGTCCAAGACCTGGGCATCATCAACCTGGCAGTCATCCCTTTACACCCCCATTGTTCCAGATCCATACACTCTCTTGTCCTCTATCCCCGCCTCCACAGCATACTTTTCTGTCCTCAACCTTAAGGATGCCTTCTTCTCTGATGAACCCAGCCTAATTCCATCTTATGATTGGGAGCCAATCTCATCACAAAGTCATGAAAAGTTAATTTCTGTTTTACTATAAATTACTGAGTTTTCTAAACTTGTTTGGAATTCCTGCCTGTGCCTTGAACTCACCCATGCCTGGGTCTCCCTGACCAGATAACAACCCTCTCTGAAACCTTAGTGGCACCTCATAAATCCTGGCTCCCCCTGACCAGATAAAACCCTCTCTGAAACTTCAGTGGAGCCTCATAAATTCTGATGTTGGGATCTGAATTTACTACCTACCTTGAAATGTTAAGCCGTGTAGATCACTAACCTGCTGTCTGCCTTTGTATTATGCTTGTCAAAATCCTGTTAGCTGTAAGTTCTCAAGTTGCCCCCTTTGCAACTTTTTTTGCTATAAAACCTTGTTCCTGGAGAGCTGTGGGTCTGCTCTCTGAGACAGTCCTGACCAGCTCTCTTTGTGTACACAATACAAGCTCAAGCGGTAGCACGCTCGCCTGGCATGCGTGCGGCCCGGGTTCGATCCTCAGCACCACATACAAACAAAGATGTTGTGTCTGCCGAAAACTAAAAAATAAATATTAAAATTCTCTCTCTCTCTCTCTCTCTCTCTCTCTCTCTCAAAAAATCTTAAAAAAAAGAAACCATGACCCTAAAATAAACTTTAAAAAAAAAATTGGAGTCGGTGGTATTTTCTTTGTATTGGGGTTCAACACTCCATTCCCTTACATAAAGATTCCCAAGACCTCTTTGCTTTTACCTGGACTGACCCAGACACTCAGGTGTCCACTCGACTTACATGGACAGTCCTTCCTCAGGCTTTAGAGATGGCCCCCACCTTTTGGACAAGCCTTGGCCCGAGACTTCCCCCACCTATCCTTGTCATGGTCATTCCTGTTCCCACACATGGATCCTTCTTCTCTGCAGTCCTTCCCTAGACCACAGTAAACCCACACGGCCAAGTCACTAAACTTCCTGACCTCGCGAGGACACCACGTCCCCCTCTAAGGTCCAGCTCTCACTTCCCACCGTCATGGGCTTCCAACTGATTCCCATCCCACAAAGCCATTAGGAGGGATCAGAAAACCTCATTTCTCCCCTTCTGCTCCCACTACCAAGGCTGAAGTACTCTCATTTCTGGGATTAAAAGGATTCCTTAGGGCTTGGATGCCCAACCACTCTCTGCTGGCCCGACCCCTTTACCATACCACAAAGGCCCCCACAAAGAGCTCCTCACCACACCCATCAACATCCCCTTTCAGGCCCTCCAAAGCCCTCCTGCAGGCCCCAGCCCTTCACTTGCCTGACCCATCCCACCCCTTTTTCTATATGTAACAGAAAACCAAGGATCTGCCCTGAGGGCACGAGGCCACCATTGGGACCATCCTTTGCAGCAGTGGCATTTCTCTCAAGATGCCTTGCCCAGCAGTATGGGGATAGGCACCTTGCCTTCAGGTACTGGTCTCCTCAGCCATCCTAATCCAGGAGTCAAGGAAACTGACATCTGGGTCACTTCTGACAGTCCTCTCCCCACCAGTGAACTGAATCACTCTCCTATGTGGGTCTTCAGACACTGCCCCTTCCTGCATCCTTTCCCTCCAGGTCTCATGGACTGAGGACCCCACTGTGACCTTCAAAACGTGTCCACCCCTCAATCCCTCTACTCTGTCTCCTCCTCCCAGGGACACAGATTCTCATCAGCCTCTCCATTCCTGCATAGAGACTAAAGAACAATTACTCCCCATCCCTCCCATATTCTGGAGGGACCCTCCTACACCTGGTTCAGGGATGGGAGCTCCTTTTCCTATGAAGGCCTCTGAATAGCAGGCTGCACTGTCACCATGGCTGTAGAGGTGATGGAGGCTAGCCCCTCACCTCCTAACATCCCAACCCACAGGCAGAACTTGGAGCTCTAACCAAGCATCTACCCTAGCTAAGGGGAAGTCTCTGACCATTTACACAAATTCCAAATAGGCCTTTTATATACTATTGGCCGACACAGCAATATGGAAGGAACGAGGACCCGTGACCACCAAAGGCTCCTCCGTCACCAACGCGTCACGTATCAATGCCCTCTTAGAGGCCTCCCCCCCCTCCTTCTATTGGCATAGTACATTGTAAAGCCGGCCTATCATACAGATAATTCATTATTACAACAGATGACAATCTGGCAGACTAAATGGCCCAGCAGGTGCCTCTATTCTCCCACCCCAACAAGAGGCCTAACACCAGTTTCCTTTTACACCCCCAGACACCACCCAAGACACATCTGCACTCTCCAATGCTACCCAGGAGTCCTATGGCATCCTCACCTGTTTTCTCTGTGGAATTATCTGATGGCTTTACAATGTCCTATGACAAACAAAAGAAGGAGGGAGGATGGGGGCCTCTAGGAGGCCACTGAAGTGTGAAGGGCTGGTGATGGAGGAGCCTTTGGTAGTCACGGGTCCTCGTTCCTTCCATATTGCTGAGCTTTTGGTGACAATGAACTTTCTTTGTTGCCTTGGTGTGTCTGTGTGATCAGTCCTGTGCCAATTTTCTTCCACCACCCATGCATAGAATCATGTCTTTACTAATTTGGGGTTCTTTTATATTTGGAAATGAGGTTCAGAACATTAAGATCTGGAAGCAACAATTTATTAGTGGTGCCAGGGCCCCAAAAGATTACTCCCAAAGTCTGAGCCCTTATACAGCAGGGCTTTTACTTTTATACATAACAAGTTTGGGCCATATCAGGACCAGGGAGTTAGTGTGATTCTATTGGAGGATGCATTTTACCCTCCTTGTATGAGATCAAGCTTGTCAACAACCTAGGGACTCTTAGCTTGTAAAGCTTAGACTTTTTATTGCACCAAACCTAAAGGGGAAGTGAGGTTTCTTTTGTCCCAGATATTTTTTTTTCTGCTTCTGCTACCTGGTCATCTTGTTTCAGGTATCTCTCAGCTGATGCTCCTATGGTTAAATGTCAGTACATGGAGCTGCATTGTACCCTGAAAGATGTGGAAAATGGCAACCTCCCCACAAAACTCTCTGACCCAGAGTGTTATGGACCAGGCTATATGAGCAATGACCAAACAGACTCCATTTTACCCTTAGACTCCATGTCATGTGAGAAATGCATCTCCCATGTGAAAGCCCTGCCTCTGTACCCATT